TTAAAGAACTAAAAAACAAAAAATCAAAAAATTAAAAAGCTAAATGATTAAAAAAACTTAGAAGAGAAAGTAAGGACTTAGTCTTACCAATGAAATACACATTGTTACTTTGTATGAATGCTATTTGTTCGACTTTGTGTTTGGCAAATTGCAAGGCTTCAAATGTTCTTGCCTTGCTGAGGTACAGTTAGGTTATTTATACATGCAAGATCTTTGGCTGGGACAAGCTTCACACACGTTCTTTGACATCTGTTTTTCAGTTTAATTTTCTCAACAGATATTTACAACATTAGTAAAATATGAAACAATTTGGCCTTTGGTTTTTATACTCTTAGCAAGGATCTTGTTATTTCAGGCCGTTACCAGAGCTGAGGTCAGAATAGCAGTTCTGATGGCTGAGAATAATATTCCTCTGGCATTTTCTAACCACCTAAGTCGAATGCTCCCAAAACTATTTCCAGACTCAAAGATAGAACACTTTAAGTATTCCGCTGCGGCTGCACTGAAGACCACATGTATGATTAATGGAACGATAGCACCACATTTCTTAAGGGAGACAGAGAATATCATGAAGTGTAGTCCATTCTCCATGTTGACCGACGGCTCAAACGATACTGGTTTGGAAAAAATGAATCCTTTGACTGTAAAGATTTTTGATGCGAACACTGGTAGAGTGGAGAGTCGGTTTTTGGACATCTGTGCAACCAAGGGAACTGACTCAGCAACGGAAGCATCAATTTTCCAGAAAATCGATGATGTGTTATCACTTCATGGCATTTCATGGAGCAAATGTGTAGGATTCGATGTGGACAATACTAATGTCAACCTTGGTAGCAGAAATTCAAACATGACAAGAGTAAAACAGAGAAGTCAGTCCTGCTACTTCATGGGTTGCCTCTGTCACTTAATACACAATATTGCCTGCAAAGCTTCTGAGGCATTTTGTGATACCTCCAAGTTTAGCCTGGAAGAGATGTGTGTTGACGCTAACTATTATTTTGACAAGAGCTGTTCTGAAAAGGATGATGAAACTGCTTCCTTTAAAACTGTGGGAGAATATTTATAGAGCATTCATTGCTCCTCATTTCAATTATTGTGCTGAGTCTTGGCATTTTTGTGGTAATCGCTTAACGAAAAAACTCGAAAAACTAAACGAGCGGGTGCTCTGCATCGTTTATCAGGATGAAAGTTTTTCTTATGAGACATTAGTTGCTAAGAATGGATATAACACATTAGCTAACCAAAGACTTGCAAAAATGTTAAGTACAGTGTTTCGAGCAATTAGGAATGGAAACGTACCTGCAAGTATTTCCGAGTTATTGACTACACGCAATTCTAATTATAATTTACGTGGTGATGCTATTTTAAAATTACCTAAAGTTAATTCAACAACTGTATGGGATTAAGTCGTGGAAATATCAAGCTGCCCGACTATGGAGCACTTTTCCTGATAATTTGAGAAATATGGATACCTATCGCAGTTTTAAACGTGAACTCGAGGAGCTCGACCTTACAGGTTTATAGCTCCCTATTTTTTTGTACTTAACTCAGCTTTCTTAGTATATCAGCATTATAGTTTTATAATTGTAGTTTGTATATACTATATCATTTTAAACACTTTAAAGGCAAAGCAATCCCTTATCGCAATTTATTCTTGTTTTCAGTATAAGTTAATAGTTCTATAAATTTAGGCAGTTTCCATAATACTTAATAATTTTAAACACTTTTACATAGCTTCTAAGTTTATTTATTTATCCTTTCTTTTCGTGACTGACCAGTAAAGTAGCTTTATATAGCTAAGTGTTAGCCACGTTAAATAAAGTATGTAGTAAGTAGAGCACTAAGCGAAAATCACTTTTGGTAGAATTTGCTGATTTTCTAAATGTTGAATACCGTCAAGTCATCAAAAATGTGAGCACACGTTGGTTAAGCTTGGAAACAGCTGTGAGACGGAACTTGGATATGTACCCAGCCTTGAAGAGCTATTTTCTGTCCAATACAGAGAGTAATCCTAGAATCAAGCGCCTAAAACAACAGTTTGCAGACCCCATGGTAGAACTTTATCATTTGTTTTTTCAGGCAGTGTTGCCAACGTTCACCTTTCCAAACAAGTTTCTGCAGAGGGAGGATCCCTGCATTTATGCTGCCCATGGACAGTTGAATGAATTTGTTCGACTCCTTCTGGGCAAGTTTGTTCAGATTGAGAAGATTAAGACTGCAAAAACTGTTGACAAAGTAAATTTTGAAGGAGAAAGTCAACAACTGTAAGACGGCCAGCTATTTATTGGCTTAGCAACCAGACAACTGCTTTACAAACTCGCCGATGAGGGTTACATAGATGAAAGAAAGAGAGATCAGTTTTACCAAGCAGTGCGTCACTTTTATCAACGAGCTGCAATAGAAGCTATCTCAAAGCTTCCTTTCCAAGCTGATACACTGATCCGTGCTAGATTTGTGGACTTTTTTCAGAGAGAGAATGCCTCTGTTGAGGATGTAGAATTCTTTCTGATGAATTATCCCACAGTTCTGCCAACTACTGCGAGGGAAAACCACTTGCTTCAAGAAGAGTTTGTGGAGTATCAGCTTCTGAGAAATGAAGACAGTTCCCAAGAAAGTCTGGGATGAAGCCCAAATAAAGCTTTGAAATGAGGAAAACGAAGAAAAATCATCATCCAGTTTTCGCATGGATGTGATCTGGGGATAGCTATCATCATTGCAGCTAGGAAATGGAAGTAAGCCATAAATTTGGTAGGATAAGTGACGTAGCCAAAACAGTTCTTATGCTACCACATTACAATACAGGCGAAGAAAGAGTTTTTTCTCTTATAAGAAAAAACAAACCAGCTTTTCGGCCTTCTCTTCAGGTTCACGGTACACTAGCCTCTCTGCTTACAATCAAAATGGCCAACAAAGAGTCATCATTTAAACCACCTGCAGATCTGTTAAGCAGTGCCAAGAAAGCTACCTGGAACTATAACAAAGAGCATCTGACTCGGGGATCAGAGTGACAGCATGTAGAACAATCAGTATGTTATGTTAATTAAATTTGACTAGATAAGACAGAATGAGAAATGTTAAGAGAGTTCAGTTGATATTGATCTGATTCAGTGATCACACTGACAGCATGTAGAGCGAACGTTGTAACATATTAATTTGACTTCTGCATACATGTACTGTAAGTCAGAATGTTAAGAACGAGTTGATATTGGTCCAATTAAAAGAATATTCTGGGAACTAAATACTTACTTTTAAAGCATGACATTTCTGCTCAGAATGAAGGAAAACACGTTTTAAATACTTAAATTTTTTTAAAATTTCCTGGGGGAGCATGCCCGCAGACCCCCCTAGCAGGGTGACGCCTACGGCGTCATAAACAACGGCTGCGCCGTTGTAGATCTCACTCTTTGCCCACAAAATCAACTTGAGAGCTCTGTGGTTCCGGTGAGAACTGCGCAAAAACTGCTAATACTTATACAAATCCTTATATTATGCATGACAAATAGCTTTACACGTGACCATCTAGAAACTAAATCGATTCTCTCCCTATGCATATATAAAGTATAGTAATTAAAAAGCGAACCTTAGGATGACTGTGTTTCCAGGCCATATACTCCTCTTTCAGCCTTTTCACTGGATCGACATGTTGAGCTGAATGCGGTCTCGCAGCCGCCATTTTGAAATGAGCGCGCTTGAAACCACTATTGGTCAGTGGTATTACGCATAAGAATTGTAAAACAATAATGGCGGCGGGCTCTCTGTTGTTTTGCGCTAGAAGTCTGTGTTTATTTCCTTCTCAGACATTGCGATACTTTTGTACTCAAGGTGATTCACACACTGTTCATGTGCCTGTGATGTTGAAAGAATGTCTCAGCTTTCTTGCACCCCGTGACGGACAAGTAAGTCGTCTTTATTCTTTTTTAAGCTTGGGGGGTTTCGAGTTTCGATTTTCCTTGAAATCATATCAATTCTGTTGCCCTCGGGTTTGGATAAGGTTTCTCGTAATTTTTAATGATGTATCTTTTGATGCTCTTTCACTGGCTTTGGCTTCAAATTTAGCCCCTACAAAGTTACCTTACCTCGCGGAAATAAAGCAATTTCTGCAGAATTTGCAATTTTGATATGAAAAAATTCGTAGTTATTGTTTACGTCATCTGATAAGATCTAGATTTAACTTTTGCCATTATCATTATACTTAATCCACTATTTTATTGAAGTAAACTTTTACACCATGACAACGGTATTTGAGTTTGTACAAGTAGATAATTATATATAAGATACTGCAACTGACGATTGAATTCGAAGTCCTTAGCTTGTTTAGATTTTTTTCCTGGTTGTTGCATGTGTCTTTCAAACAAAATTTTCTGCTTTGTAAAGGGAATCTGTACTTAAATGACCTTCTTCACATGTCCCTGTCTTGCGTTATTTTATTGCTGCACTTTGTAGTGGTTGACAAATGCCATGCCTTGCTCACCCTTTGGGATTAAAGGAAAGAAACAAATTTTTTATCTTGGAAAAAAAAAAACACAAAAAAATTCAATTCTTTCAAAACATTAGCACCAAGGAAAGAACTTTGATATTCAGACAGGTTTAGTTAGGACCCCTTTTAAAGTGTCTTCTATCATTAGCTTTCTCCTATTTCTGTCCAAGTTGGCCACTTAAAGGCAAGCCAGACAATAAAGGGCACGAATAATTGAATGACTTCCCACCTTGTGGTTACCTCAATGGACCTTAGAATTAGAGGTCTACACCCAAAGCCCAAGGACCTGTTTCTCAAATCAGGGATTTCTACAATTTTGGGGCTTCTTGACTTATGGAAACCACCCTCAATGCTTTAAAAAGTGAGATGGGATGTAAAGAACTTTGATATTCAGACAGGTTTAGTTATGACCCCATTTAATAGTGTCTTCTTTCATAAGCTTTCTTTTATTTCTGTCCAAGTTGGCCACTTAAAGGTAAAGGCTGATAGTTTCGAAAGAAACTGTTTGGGGCTGCGTCAGTGGGAGTAACGAAATAATTTGAATATATCAACAAAGTTGAAATGGTAAATTGGCCACCGTAATGATTACACCTAAGTGCAAGGAAAGACGGCAGATTGCCATATGTTGCTTAGAATGGTTAGGTAAATTAAAATGTCTAGCGACTGGTTTCGATATGTCCTTGTCATTCCTTTCCATGTCTCGAAGGTGTTCTCGGAATCGGTCACCTAGTCTTCTGCCTGTTTCGCCGATGTATATCTTTTATTGTCTGGCTTACCTTTATATATAAAGGTAAGCCAGACACGAAAGGGCACAAATAATTTAATGACACCCTACCTTGTGGTTACCTCAAGGGACCTCAGAAGTAGAGGTCTACACCCAAAGCCCAAGGACCTGTCTCTCAAATCAGGGATTTGTACAATTTTTGGGCTTCTTGACTTATGGAAACCACCCTCAATGCCTTAAAAAGTGAGATGAGATGTAAAGAACTTTGATATTCAGACAGCTTTAGTTAGGACCCCATTTAATAGAGTCTTCTATCATAAGCTTTCTTTTATTTCTGTCCAAGTAGGCCACTTAAAGGTAAGCCAGGCACTAAAGGGCACAAAAAATGTAATGACACCCTACCTTGTGGTTACCTCAAGGGACCTTAGAATTAGAGGTCTACACCCAAAGCCCAAGGACCTGTTTCTCAAATCAGGGATATCTACAATTTTGAGGTTTCATTTATCAGAAAAATCTAGGGCAGTCTGTAAGCAGTGAAATGCTGATAATTTGGGAATTTCCTGACATATGGAATCCACCCTTTATACTTTAAAAAGTGAGATGAGCTGTCTTCTTCACTTTCTCAACGTGTATTCTTAAGTTCATTCTTTATTATTCTGACGATGTTCAATGTTATAAACTAAGAACCATGGAAGGCTAATGCTATGATATTGTTTATTGTCTTGTACTATTTTAGGTGTTTATTGATGCAACATTTGGATCGGGGGGACACACAGCAGCAATCCTTTCGAGCGCAAAATGTAAAGTTTATGCCTTCGACAGAGATCCAGATGCTATAGAAATAGCAAACATACTTTCAGAAAGACCTGAATTCAAAGGAAGATTAATTCCCATATTAGGGAAATATAGTAATATCTTTGAGATTTTAAAAAGCCAACGAGTAAAGAAGGAGTCTGTAAATGGAATCCTTCTTGATGTTGGTGCCTCGAGTATACAATTTGACAATCCAGATAGAGGATTTTCATTTTACAAAGATGGTCCTCTAGATATGAGAATGGGAGTGAAAGGTACCACACTGGAGTCAGTGGGTGGCAAGAGGTTGCTGATGACAGCAGCTGATGTGGTGAATTCTATCAACGAGACAGAACTTACAGCTGTATTGAGACAGTATGGACAAGAAAAGGAAGCTGGTTAGTGGCAACAACTTCCTAATAATAATATGGGTACTACTGACCCCATTTCGTACTAGAAAATAGGAGACTCTAACAAATACTGGAGCAATGCAAAATTTCCAATTCTGCCAAGCTGATTTCACTTTGAGAAATTTAACCAAAATTCATCAAAATTGTCAAATCATGAACATTCACTTTGATTGACAAAATGTCATCAAATCTGCCATTTTTGTTTCTGCATGCATTTCTGGACATAAGTGCATCCAGGAGTGGTTCATGTAGCAATACTCCTCAACACTTAACGTTATGGAGGTTGGGATAACCTCTGGATTAGAGGGCTGGTTAGTTTGATTGCTGAGTATCTTACCTTGAGTGTAATGTGGCCTGTGGGATGGTACACTGCACTGCATGCAAGGCTCTCTTGAATCAGACCATTGGGCAAAGACTTTCATATACTGTTATAAATTCTAGAGCAAGATACTCTACTCTTGCACAGCTTCCCTCTTCACCCGGAGTATTAACCCTTTATGCCCCCACATCAGTATGTATACTCTCCATACTGTTCTCTATGCATTTCCTAACATGCTGAGAAGGAGAATTTGTTTAACAATCATCATCTCCTTTTTTTTCTCGCGACCGTAATGTTTGATTCAGGGGTAATATTTTAAGGAGAAATAAGATACTAGTCAGCCTAAGGGTTAAAAAGTTAATGGGTTAAAAGTGAACTTTCAGGAAAACCAATCCCGGTGACAGTGGGGACGGTGATCTTAGCTTTTTGTGGGTTTATGCCACAGAAACTGGAATGAATTCCAGTACCGTGGACCAGTCTACCGTAGTGATGTTCGTATAATTCATGCGTCTATTTTTGTTTTCAGTTCGCATTTCAAGAGCAATCGTCAAAGCCCGGTCAAAGATGCCGATACTTTTCACAAGACAGTTAGCAGCCATTGTCACTGCTGCTGTGCGTCACAGCCGATCGGACAGATTTGCCCGACCCATCCACCCAGCAACGAGAACGTTTCAAGCATTGCGCATACTCGTAAATGATGAGCTAAATGAACTTCAGTGCGTCCTAAAAGCAGCGCATAAACTTCTTCGTCCCGGCGGGCGGCTGGTGGTCATTTCATTTCATGCTTTAGAAGACTCCCTTGTAAGACATTTCTTTAAAGATGCGAATTCTGAAGTCAGTTACATGCGATCCAAGACAAACGTGGCGGGCAAAGCGAAAACAAGCGCTTGGTTACCGCTTCACAAGAAAGTTATTTATCCCACCGATGAGGAAGTTTATCTCAATCCTCGCTCACGATCAGCTAAATTACGAGCGGCGGTAAAAGTGGATAATTTAGTTATGGACTTAACTGAACTCACCAGCTGGTTAGACAAGAATTCGGGGGAAACGTTTTACAACGGTTCAACGCCAGTCTGAATATCTTTAGAACATTAAAAATGGGAAAGTTACTTTTATTAATGCCCTTATTTTCTTAAAGAAGTGTCCCTTTTTTCGTACGCAACCGTGGCTGTTTTAATGGATCAGACTATATTTATTTGGGGTATAAAGAAAAACAAATCAACTTTTTGGTAATTTTATATCAAGGGGGGAAATGAAATGGCAATTTTTGCGGATTATATTGTTGACTGTCAACCCTGGGAATGTTTAAGGAAGCGAGAGGAAACAAATTGAATACAACCTTATTGAAAAACAAACTACTTTATTATGCACAGCATTGTGAGAGAAATAAAGGCTGATAGTTTCGAAAGAAACTGTTTGGGGCTGCGTCGGTGGGAGTAACGAAATAATTTGGATATATCAACAAAATTGAAATGGTAAATTGGCCACCGTAATGATTACAAAAGCTGACGTTTCGAGCGTTAGCCCTTCGTCGGAGCGAATAGAGGTGAATAGAGGTGAATGTGAGAGAAAAACAAACCTTTGATACACAGCTTTGTGGTCTACTACGTCAGCATAGCGTTGACTTTAGACTTAATTTACATTCTTCTAAACGATATCTTGCTTAGTTATTTATCTAGTGCTTCAGCAACTTTCCTCCTCGGATTTTTCTCTCTTTCTTTATTTCCTTGTTGTTTTTCGGCTCCCTCTTGTGTATTTCTAGTGGTGCCTAGGGTGATATATAGGATAAAAAAGTGGCATT